AGCTTCTAGTACTGCTAGTATTTGTACAGAGTCAAATGCCTTTTCGTAATCGGTGAATGCCGTAAACAGGGGTTTCCTATATTTGTTTATTTTCTCTCCTATTTGGGTGAGCATGTGGATGTGGTTTGTTATTGAGAATCCACTGCGGAAGCCTGCCTGTTCTCCAGGCTGGTTAGAATCCAGACTGTCAGGGATGCGAGTTGTGATGACTTTTGTGAACAGTTTGTAAATAACTAAAAGGAATCTTACGGGTCGGTCGTTTTTTAGATCAAAATAATTGTTGCATTTTTCTCAGGTTTCGGAGCTTTTCCGTTGAAAAGGCATTTGTTAAAAAGATTGGCTAGTTTCACTGTTGCAAAATCTCTCTTCACCTGGTGTTTTCCTTCTCTTCATGCCTTTCAGCGCTCTCTTTATTTCTTTTGTTGTGATGTTAGGTACGTCTCTCGCCTATTTCAAGTACAGCTTCCTTCATTATGTCATTGAGCAGTTTCTTGATTTGGTCAATGTTGAGGTTTTCGTCGCTGAGAAATGAATATCTGTCTTGGATGTTAATGTTAAATTCTGTCGCACTGGTCTTCAAGTTTTCGGTTTTCGCATGAGTTTGTTCCTTTCCCTTCTGAGCTGTAATTTAATTTGGCCTCTGACCATTCTATGATCGCTGCCAACATTTGCTTTATTAATAACCCACATTTTTTACTATATCGTGCCCAATTGAAATTATAGAGTCAATTTCATTTTTGATGTCAGATGGCGACTTCCATGTCCACTTCCGCGCACACACACACATGTACACACACACATGTACACACACACACACACGCACACACACACACGCACACACACACACACACACACACACACACACACACACACACACACACACACACACACAACACATACACACACACACACACACACACACACACACGTAGATATGTATGCATATATCTATCTATCTATCTATCAATATATATATATATATATATATACATATACATATATTTATACATATATAGGCCTATATATATATACAGACAGACGGGGTGGGTAGTTAGAGGAAGAGAAAGGGAGAGAGGTGGGGTAAGGGGAAGAAAGAAGGTGGAAAGGGAGAGGGAGATGGAGGGGAAAACAAAGAACGAAGAAGAGTGAGATAGAAGGTGACGCTAGAGGGAGAAAGAATGTGATGAACAGAGATACAGAGAGGAAATTGGGAGGGGACAAGAGAGAAGGAGAGAGAAAAGAAGGATAATAGAGAGAAAGAGCGAGAGAGTATGGAATGAACGGACAGATAGAGTTAGAATGAAATGGGGAAAGATGGAAGATTAAACTAACAGACAGGCAAGCGGAGAAGCAACCATTCATAAAGTTTAATGAACACCTCAAGTATTCTCGTCTTGAGTAAACCGGTAACGAGTCAAGTTCTCGAGAAGCAACTTAAATCTCTCTTTTGTCAAAGCACGTCAAGATAAATTCAAGATGAGAGGGAGAGGATGATAGTAACAGAAATGGCTAAATATAATGTCAACTGATTGCATAACTAAATTTAAACGCCCTTTCTTCGGTTTTTAATGAGAAACTCAATTCGAAATCACAAAAAAAAGAATAAATATATAGATAAATAGATTATAAAACCAAGTGTCGAAAACAACCACAACAAATAACAAGGGAAAAAATATTAATTTTACGAGGACCCTGTTACAAAGGAACAGAATCCCTACTACGTTGCAAAATCCGTGCAACATATTAGAATTCAGCTCTCGTCCACACCTAACCCCACTCAATAAGGTGCAAAGTCGAGCCGAGATTCTCAACACACGAGCTCGAACGAAGGACACCGCAGGAGTCCGCCTTCGCCCTTACAGAGCGGTTGTTCGTGGTAGGAGTAACTGATGATAATGATAATAAAGATAATTCAGTAATGATGACAATTCTCAGACCGATGATGATAATAAGGATAATTCAATGATGATAGTAATATTGACGATAATTACCAGAACGATGATGGTAATGGTAAGCTGTAATTGTGAAAATTACGTTAATGGTGATAGCAATGATATCGATAATAATAACAGTACTGAATTAATAGTGATAATGATAGTAATGATAATGATGATATGATAACCATGGTCAAGAGCAGGACGGCAATGACTAACTCAACCACGCCCGAGTTCCTACCGCAGCAAACCCAAAGCGTGTATGCATTGGCCATATCAACCAATATTTCCCTGAATAAATTTAATGTAGATGCTACTCTAGGGTCAAGTAGCGCCTTGCGAGGTCTCTTTCCCTTAGAAATTCGATACGGCTGGAGATCAGGACCCTGCGAGCAACTTTGTGCGTTTGTGTTTTTACTGTTCTTTAGTCTGATATGATATTTATATGTACTGAATCGTTAGGACTCGGGAGGACTTTTCTTGGACAAATTTGAGAGAGACAGACAGAAATAGCAAGAGAGACAGATTGTCTTGAGACACACATACACACACGCACGCTCGCTCGC